CACTTGGACTCTTCCGACTTGAAAAGCAAATTGGATTGATGCTTATGACTACGAGCTTATCGAATCAGTCATTCTGGGCCAAAGGGAACAATCTACTCCCTTCGCCAAGCTACTCATAGCTTGAGAGTGAGGGGCAATTGACGAGGGCAGATTTGTCCCTCCAATGACATCATGACACATGGCATCTTAAAATAGTTGGATGACACATAAACACCACCTAAGCGATGATTTGGAGTCCCAGATCACAGTTCATCTTTTTCCCGACCTGGCGACCTCGACCACAACTTAGGCCGGCTAAAAGCACCTTGTCCAGGGCTGACCTATAGCACCTCGTCACCTGCCGAAGTGACCTCGACACGAGGAGCGACCTCCCTTGAGGGCTTGCCGACCTCATTGAGGTCCAAGTGAAGACCTGCGAGACATGCTCGCCAACCAATTCTACATGTACAACCTGTCACTATCGGGTCTCTCAGAAGTTGGCCCCCGTACTGAATGTTTCGGAGGAGACCGAGCAAGGCGCGAAGACTGGTCTACGTGTACGGCTACCTCCATGGACTTCGGACCTATTGGGCACAACCTCCTGGAAAACTCGGACGCGATGCGTGAAGCCCACGCCATGTAACACCTATATAAAGGCCTAACCTCCAACCTAACAAGGTGGGAAGGTAAGATGCGCAACTCAGCTCTCACAGCCCTCTAACTTCTTTTACTCTCAACTCTCTCATAAAATCTCTGATTCACTGACTTAAGCATTGGAGTGCCCACCCCAGGTAAAGAAACCTAGGGCACTCTAACATTGCCACCTTGCAGGGCTCTTTGGAAGGATATACAGTTCGCCGGTTTATTCAGCTCGGCACCCGAGTCATTTCTTGACGAGGAAATTCTCTAACTCGATATTTGAATCACCTCTTAACAAGGAAGCCACTAGCTCAGCCTCCGAGCTGCCGTCCAGTGCGGGAGCTGCCGAAACGCGCATCAACAACTATTATTATAAAATTATTACTAATAAATATAACTTTGTTGACAGTTATTTTCTATAATTATTAATTGATATACGTGAAATTAGTTATTTGCAAAATTATTTAGTTATTGAAATAGTATTTTTATTTAAATTCTTAAAATATTAATTATATATTGAATTTAATAATCCATAAAATTATAGTTGTACTATTATTACATAATTTGTTATTAATTTGGTAAAATATTAAATTATTATTAATATGAATATTATGAATTCTATTATAATTATTTTTCTAATTTTAATTTTTTTTAATTTATTACATAATTTTGTTATTTTAACTATTTAAAATTTTGTCATGTTAAATATTTAAATAATATGTAAAATATTTAAAATTTTTCATTATTGGAATTTTATTTATTTTAATGTTATTATGTAATATTAAATATTTTGTTATATTATTTAGCTATTTTTAATGTTTTTATTTAAGATTTTTAGTTATTGAAATATTTAAATAATGTTTTTTTTTAATGTTAAATTTTTATTATTTCAATAACATTTAAATTGAATAATTCATAAAGTTATAATTTTACTACATAATTTCATGATCAATTTTGTAAAAATATTAAATTATTAATAATATGAATATTATTAAATCAATTAATTCTTTGTGTTTTGAATAAATATTTTAGTTTTAGTATATAATTTCATTATAACATTTAAATAGTTCTGAATTTTTTTAATTGAAACCGTCTTTACATAGATATAGATAAAAAGTGGGGGAGAGGATAAATAGGAATTAGAGATAGTTTATGAGAGAATCTCTCTACTAAATTAGAGATAATTTAAGAGATAAATAGGAGTTAGAGATAATTTAGGAGATAAATAGGAATTAGAGACAATTTAGGAGAAAGTGGGGGAAAGTGATGCCACTTGGCTAAACATTAGAAAACCAAATCCTTCTTGTCTTTGTAGTTGTTATAAATAGTTAAGCATATGCCATTTCCTTTTTAATGGGTAATTATATGGAATTAAAAAATAAATAAAAAAAACAGAAAATTAGGAAGGAGGTTTGAAACAAGGAGAGGTATGGTGACATGGACAGACCAATTTTAATATTATATATTAAAATGTTATCCTCAAGAGTGGAGAAGTCCACCATGTTTATTACTCGTTGGCATGAAAATTTTTTGCCAATTTTTGCTTCAGGTTTTGGTTTGCTTAAAAAGAGAGTGCAATTTTTGAATAATAGGAGTGAAAATTTAGATGGCTCTCAATAGAGACAGGATTTATATAGCTAGCCTCTAATGGTTATAAGGTTTAGTTTGTGCAAGGTGTATAAGGTGTATGTGTGTGTGAGAGGAGAGAGAAATACTCCAGAAATTTTTTTGGTCTACCCATATCCATTCAAGCCATTGCCATGTTCGTTGTAATGCTTCTCACTTGATTTGGCATCTTTGGGAGTTAGGATAAACACCTCAGTTATGCACCCTATGTTGCCAATGTGGTAAACCCACAGGTCATGAATCAATAAACAGGTTCCATTTTGAAGTGTATTATTGAAGAACAGAATTTTTCATGAATTACAATATTGTCAATCTTAAAAGTACAATGTGTAGAAATTATTGAGCAAAATGGCAGGTTATAATTTCTGTAGCCGACCCCAAATAGTTTAGATTGAGGCTGACTTGTATTGAATACATGAAAAATATTTACGATTAGAAAGGGTATATACATAAATGTTCTATTTGGTCATCTCATTGTTTGTACTTAATCGTGAGCCCTATGTTCTATTCATTGTTCTGTTATAGTGTCTAATGTGATCGCTTGTGAACATCAAACTTGGATCATCATAAGCAATGTTTGATGACCCAAATGGATATTCTATTGATTCATTTTTTTCCCCGAGACTATGCACATCAATCTCTGAGATTTCCTTTAAAGCAAATGAAACTGCTTGCACACAACAGTAAAGTGATTATGATATCATGGGGGCGAAGAGAAAGGAACGGTTTTAGTTGATCCCTAGCAACTGTGAAATGGTAAACAGATTTGCTTACACAACGGTAATAAAGTAGGAACGTAGATTTTCATCCACCCACTGTTTTTGGTGACTTTAGAAGGCTAATCGGCCCACACCACAATCCATGATTGAGATGTGTGCCTTTCAGTGCGGGGTCGAGGTGAATGGTTTTTGACATGATGGAGAGAGTCTTTACCAGACTTGGTCTCATCTGTCGCCATCAAAGGAATCGCAGATTATATATAGAAAGCCTGGGCCCCAGGCCTTGATGTGAAGACCATTAGTTGGCTTACACATCGGGCCTGGGCTTTGCCATCCTCCATAAGTGGAGCTGCCAATGCCATACTGTCGTGAGCATATACCTATTCTTCTCTACCAAATTTATATCCTGTACTTTGGGTTTAGTGTTATTTTGGTCATCGAAATTTAAAATGTGACAATTCAGTATTTGAATTTTTAAAACTTGATAACCCAGTATTTGTCGTTAACTAATTATTAATCAGCCGTTAAGTAGTATTTCAAAAAGATATAAATGCCTTTCAAATATTATTTAATTTTATTTATCAATCTTATAAACGTTGACAAAAAATTAATAATCCTAAATCCTTGTTTTTTCCATTCAACAAAGTTAGGGTTACGTTTGAGTGGGAATTCTAGTGATCCCAATTTTTTTGAATAACAGAGAGAATGATTTGAGATTGTTAATTTTTTGTTAATGTTTGGGTGATTGATAAAGAAAGTTAGATAATATTCGAAGGATATTTGTGTCTTTTTTAAATGCCATTTAATGGCTGATTAACAACTAGTTACTGAATTGTCATGTTTTGAAAGTTCAGATACTGAATTATCGTATTTTAACGTTCGAAAATCAAAGTGACACTAGGCCAATTTTCCCAAATTATTATTATACTATAACAACATCAAACAAATACTTCGTAAAAAGAGGGAAAGAAACGTCGAGTTTTGTACCCAGCCGAACAGCTACCTCCTACCAAACCTGCATCCGAATCCGCTTTCCTTACCCGAATGCAGTATTCACTTGCCCTTGAGTCGAGAAAAATAGATGACGTGGAGTCTTCAACTTCTCGTCTAGGCCAGCGTTACAGCTGTCCTTGCCATGGTTTCGTACTTGACCACTCACTCACTCGTGTATGACTCGACTCGACTACGGAATTTGGTAGGACTTGGGCGGATCACGAGAATCTCTGGACCGTCTCTGGCCAAGTCACCACTCGCCGGTAAAAGGGTGATCAGTGTTCAGTGATGTCTTCCCCCTTCCCACTCACTCGTGGGTCCACTTAGGGATGGGCCCACCCTGGACTGCTGCGTTTGTGAAACACTTTGTTTTTGAAACTGCTGGCCAGAGGCTCAGAGCAGATCAAAGCTGAATATAATTTGCTAGCTTTTGGAAGCCGGAAACTGTTGGTAGGCTCGGCTGCCTTCCTCCTGTTTGACGAAAATACCACATGTTCTTCTGGCCATTGGTGTTGGGAGGTTTGAATCTTTGATTACCCTTTTGACAAAAGAAAACAAAACTGCAAGCCCACAACTTTCCGGTTTCCACCACTGAGTGACGCCGAAAGGGAGATAAACTCATAACTCATGTCATGGCCGAAAGATTCCTCCAGTTGAACAATGAAACCGTTCGATGTAACTTCAATATCAAATTATCAATCACATCACATACGTCAACAGTTTCATTTCTTTCTCCTTTTAAATTCGCCCTTGTCTTTTTTTAGGTAACACACTTTCTCTCTGCTCTGTGAATCTGCATTTTCTGTATTTCTGTACACTGATTCTATCATCCATCCAATTTGAATTACGTACCTAGCAAACCCGTAGATAAATGGTAATAAGTTGCCATTTGCTATTTTGCGCTGCAGGGTTGAGGCCACCCGTCCGTCATACAACAGTTGTCCTCAGTCTCTCTCTCTCTCTCGGTCCCCAATTCATCAATTAATTAAACCTTTTAAATGATTATTTATGAAATTTAATAGATCTGAGATGATCTCTCTCTCCCTCGATTCCGCATTTCTCTTTTTCTGCTTTTTATTAACAGTCCACACAACAGTCTTCGCTCCGCTTTGCTTCTGTTGTTGTTAATAAAAAACTTCAACCAGTAGGCAGAAGCTTCGTCATCTTTTTGGTTTCAGTGTTCACCCACCTCTTTTAAAACCCAATCAAAGCCCCCCCCCCCCCTCTCTCTGTCTGTATCGCACTTCCTCTACGGCGATACTCAAAGGCTCTGCCTGTCCTTGTTACCTCTGTTCCAGTTCTACTTCTAGTCTTCTTTCTATCCCAGTTCTGCATTCATGGCTTCCTTCCTTCTTTTCGCCATCATCGTTATGCACCTCTCTGTTTCGTCTTCGCAGATTGTTCTGCCTCTCACACATTCACTCTCAAATACCGATTTCAATCACACCCACCACCTTCTCAAAACCTCTTCCGTCCGCTCCACCACCAGATTCCATCGCCACCACTTGGTTCGTCGTCATGTCTCTCTTCCACTCTCTCCCGGTAGCGACTATACTCTGTCCTTCTCCCTCGGTTCCAACCCAACTCAAACCATCTCTCTTTACATGGACACTGGGAGCGACCTTGTCTGGTTTCCCTGTGCCCCATTCGAATGCATACTCTGCGAAGACAAATACGACACCACCATCACCGCCGACACCACCCCGCCCAATGTTTCCTCTGCCACCCGCGTCTCCTGCAACTCCCCTGCCTGCTCCGCCGTCCACTCTTCTCTCCCGTCTTCCGACATCTGCGCCATAGCTCGCTGCCCATTAGAAATCATCGAAACTTCCGATTGCTCCTCCTTCTCTTGCCCTCCTTTTTACTACGCTTACGGCGACGGGAGTCTGATAGCCCGTCTGTACCGCGACAGTTTCTCAATACCCTCGTCGTCTCCCTCGCTTCATCTACCAAACCTTACGTTCGGGTGTGCTCATATCGCACTCGCCGAGCCTATCGGAGTTGCGGGCTTCGGCCAAGGCCTCCTCTCTCTGCCTGCTCAACTCGCTCACCTCTCCCCGCAGCTCGGTAACCAATTTTCGTATTGCTTAATATCTCATACATTCGACGTTCATCGCATTCGTCGACCCAGCCCACTCATTCTCGGCCGTTACCAGAAAGAGAAACAATCCGGCGACGACGAATTTCAGTACACGCCGATGCTCGATAATCCGAAGCACCCCTATTTTTACTGCGTCGGGCTCGAAGCGGTCTCCGTTGGCAGTACTCGGATTCCAGCACCGCGGAATTTAAAGCGAGTAAACGGGGAAGGAAATGGCGGAATGGTGGTGGACTCTGGCACTACATTTACTATGCTCCCGTCGGGGTTGTATAAAACAGTGGTGACCGAGTTTGACCGCCGAGTCGGACAAGTTTACGAGCGAGCGACCGAGACGGAGGACCAGACGGGACTCGGTCCGTGTTACTACTACGATGACTCGGTGGACAAGTACCCGAGGTTGCCCAAACTAGTGCTGCATTTCGTGGGCAATACAAGTATGGTTCTGCCCAGGAGGAATTACTTCTTTGGGTTCACGAGCGGTGGCGATGGAGGGCAGAAGAAGAAGGCGGGGTGTTTGATGCTGATGAACGGTGGAGATGACGCGGAGTCGGGGGGGCCCGCAGCTACGCTTGGTAACTACCAGCAGCAGGGATTTGAAGTTGTGTATGAGTTGGACAAGCGAAGGGTTGGATTCGCTAGGAAACGGTGCGCGTCCCTCTGGGATAGCTTGAACCGCGGCTAACGTTCGCTGGTGGAGTCTCTGCTGGTGGAGGAGTTTTGACCGCACGTGGAGTCTCTGCTGGTGGACGAGTTCAGAGATTGGCTTTGCTGTAAAATTGTGAATAAAAAAAGTATGAGTTAATTAAGTGCTTTGTAAAGAATGATTGAGATTAAGAGTGTATAGAAAATATCAGTTTAATCTCACCCGTCGATTGTTGGACGTTAGAATTGTATTTTTCGGCATAAAGGGTGCAATCTCAGCAAGCCACGTGTTAGTAATGGTCCACACGTTTGGCTTAATTTAGAGTAGAGTCGAAGACCTTACACGCTATTGCCAGTTTGCCACACCTTCCTTGGATTTGTTAGAAACTAGCACACATTTGGCGGAATCTGGTTGGCGTGGAATTCAAATTTGGGCCGGACCGGGGACATCTCAACCGTAAACCGGTTCAAACTGCGACCACAGTATGGTTTTCTCGGAATCCTAATAATTTATCAATCCTTCCCACCGACGGGCGAGGCTGTCCTTATCCATCATTAGTGTGTTGTAATTAGGACAGATTTGGGTCGAATCCAATGAGATCCGATTGTAATCCAATTATCAAGAATCCCTTAATCCCATTTGGGGCCTTGGGGGTCTTGGGTCGGAATTTTTAATCCAATCAACATCTTAAAGAGAGAGAGAGAGAGAGAGAGAGAGAGAATTCGCCCGTTAAAACTATTTAAACTATAGGATCTGTTTGATTTACAGTCAAAATCAGAATCGGATTTAAAAATCTGAATTGGAATGATTTATTCCCTGCCTATCTGGTTTAAACCTGAATTGAAATAGAAATCGAGTGGAATGGAATTTTAGTAGTGGGAGGAGGAAAGAGCCACTCCAGGAAATATCGCTCCATTAATCAGAATGGATCATTTCAATTCCGATTTCAGAAAACCAAACGGGCCCTAAATCCAATCCGATTACACGTTGAGCATCCGAGTTCAAGATAAGTTGATCGAATCTCAAGCAGTCAAGCTTGACCAGTCCGGTGTCAACGGACGGTCGTTTTCTTCTTTTTCCTGAATTATTATCTCCACCGTCCAAAACAAACGAGCCACTAGATAGATGATGATGATACAAGTGGAACCACTCGCCTACTCCAATCACTGATAACGAATGTTCCTCACTTCCTCTTGAACCCTTTCCGATATTTTTTATACATTGGTATGTCTTTGAAAAAAAATCTCATCAGTAGTTTATGTGGTCGTTCAGCTCAACCACCATGGGTTGGTGTGTGGGCTGCCCGAATCCTACGTGATAATCTAACTTTATTTGATGGACCCACCAATCTTTCTTACTTTATGGTAGCCAATCATGAGGGACGAGAAGGTGGGGTTATATACTTATATTAATGCAAATGTCGTATTATATACTATACACTTCTTCTGCCCCTCAAATGAGAATGATTTCCATTCCTTAAAAAAATGAAAAAACAAACAAATTATTGAAGAGCCGATTGATAGTGTTGATTAGACTAATGACCTAGTTTAATAGTTAAATTAATCCAACTCGCTAATGGACAAAATCCTCCTAACCACAAATTTTATATTCGTTTGGAATGTTTATATTTGTCCACAAATGATCATCACCACTTTTTTTCTCCTTTTTCTTTTATAATTCAAATTTACCTTTTACATTCCATTTGATCTCATGTAAAAAGAAGGAAAATTAATGATTTTCTGAAAATTATTATTTTATGATGTGTGGTTCATTAAGGAAAGAAAAAGTGAGAAATAATTGTAGGTAAATGACAAATTATAGAAACGCAAAATACCAGAAAAATTAGAAATATAATTTGTTTTTTTAATATCATTTTCCTAGGAAATCATTTGTTTTCCTTTGTTTTTACATGCGCAACCAGATACAGCCAAAGTGTGTAATCCATCTACTGGAATTGTCTACTAGGAGAGGACCCACTTACTAGGTTAAGTCGAATTATAATTTAGGGAGTATCTTGGGTCAAAAGACCTACAATATTAATATTTGTGTAGTGTGTGTGTGCGCGTGTATATTTCATCCCTCCTCCTTAAACTCCTAATTCTAGTGGTAGCGGAATTTGATCCCAATCTCTACTCTGATAAATTAAAGATTCTATCAACTGAGCCACCACCACTTGGTGATCTGATTTGGGAATTCATTCAATATACTTAGGTTGAATTCAAACATTCAGCAAGTCTTAACAAATCAATTTTGAAACAGAAATTTGGATATCTGTAGTCACAGTGATGATTCCTAACATGGCCCAAACCACAAATTTCCAGGTCAGGCCAGGTCTGAATATTAGAAACTAATGATATTTGCAACTTAACAGGGTGTTTTACAATGTGAATTGTTTTTCTTCCAAAAACAAATCAAAACCAACTGGTTTCGAAACAAATTGGTTTTAAAAAGGAAAAATAGAAAACGTATTCATGGTGGTTATGTTCTTGAACCAAAAATATGTTCTTGAACTTTTGTTTTAAAGAACGTGTTTTTATCTTGTTATCTAATATCATGTTCTATAGCTTGCATAGCATCTGTACATAAAATTTGTTTTTGTTTTAAAAACCATCATTTTGATGATTTTAAAAACATGTTTTTTTTTAAATAAAAACAATCTATTTTTGCTTTTTCAAAACAGAAAACATGGTTTAAGAAGGTTTTCTTTTTTTTTTTTTTACTTTAACTAATGTGACAAATTGTCAATGGCAGAAATAAATGAAAACAAGAACATTCGTGTTGGATAACACCCTCTGAATAAAGCAATTTCCCAATACTAGAAACTAGTGAGATTTACAAATTAAATAAACCATTTTTTTCTGAATCAAATTAAGTATCCAGATATTTAAAATTTTAAATGATTCGAATTTGAATCTATGCTTCACATATCTGATAGATATCAAATCGAATTTATATCTCCCATATTCTTATCAGATTGGATTTTAGAAGAGGTCTGTACTGTTTGCAGCCTTAAATCCAATACCCCACCCAGTTCACATATCCAACCTGTCATGTATGGCTTTCAGGTTCAATATGCTTATCCATTCGAAGTTTTTTATTTTGCCTTGTCCTCAAGCACATAAACAAGGTGATGGAGAGAGAGGAAAAGACAACCAAAGCTCTCTCTTGGATAAGAATAAGGATGAGACTACAGTAGATATGAATATGAGCTTTGACCATAAACCCTAAAAATATCTCGTAGGAAACTTCACATTAGAGAGGAAAAGGAGTTGGTGAAGAAGAAAGGAGGAAGTTACCTATAGCTGCTATACCCTTTTCAGACTTTTTATTTTTAGCTTAAAATCAAAAGTTAGAAGAGGAAAGAAGGCAACCAGTTGGATGCATGTGAACTCATTTTCTTTGGCTGCATTTGGAAGCGATGCAAATGGAGTGTAAATACCAATTTAAAGTAAATTTACACTCTGGTTCACTTTTGTCTGTGTTTGACAACATTACATTTATGGATTGACAAATGACAGAAAATATATTTTCTAATACATATTTACATTGATGTAAAAGTACATCAATAAAAAAAAAAGAAGTAAATTTGCATTCATATGGGCTTTTGATAAAAAAACCATATGTTTTATTAGATTTCTTATTTGCATCCATTACAGCTAAAAGTTTGTTTGGTAAGAAGATAAATTTGTTACAAAACTAATTCAACTTTGCAATTTATATGGACTGTTTTATACTCTACATATTTGCATTCACACTTATTTGCATTGTTTCCAAACAATGGGCTTGCACATTCAATCATGGTTCAACATATTACCATGGTTTTGAAAACTGGACCAGACCGAATGGTTAGACCGGTTTCACCATAGAACTGTTATTGGGCCAAAAACCGTTGACTTGATCAGTGACGTGCTGATTCAGGAGGTCAAACCGTCAACCTGTTGACCCAAACAATAGTTTTGGCCTTTTATTTTAATGACTGGTTGGGTTTATATGTTTTATTTTTCGTTTAAGTATTGGTTAAATTGAAATGTGACTTTATTTGGTCATTAAATCCTGATATAAAAATATGTATTGAAAACCAAAAATTCAAGGATACTCTTTTAGTTTCATTTCTAGAAATAATAGACACATATGCAACCAACGACATGTTTACTGTGTTTTTATTTTAAAAACTAGTCTATTTTCAATTTAGATAGTTTTGATTTTTTTTTCGGATTTAGCAACAAGAAAAATCGGATTGAAGACACATTTCCTAACTTTCGACGCCTTTAATTTTGTCTTTCATTTTATAAATCAGGATTTTCAACAAGTTAGAATTCCAGAACTTCATACTCAACCTTTGAGTGTTTGTGTGTGAGAGAGAGAAAGGAAATTACTCGTTCTTGTATAATTATGTTCACAAAAGCATTTAATTGATATAAGGATATAATAAATTTTGCTAAGTACAGATTCCCAGCAATTAAGACTTGCATTGAAGACAATAATAATTACCTGTAACAACGTTTAATTTTTTGGTACTAAATTAATTATCCAACAGGTCGATAACAATTAACAAGTATCCCTATCTTGGGTGGAAAATCTACATCCATATTTGAATTTTCATTCAAGATTTATTATAAGGATATAATAAATCTCAATCTTAATGATCGTCCCTCTTAATTTCTATCAAAAAATATATATATTTGAATTTTCATTTCTTTGATTGGATACCTGGATTTTAGCCTCTGTAGTTTATTTGTGACTAGGATTTGGAAGGGGGGTAAGACAGATTAAGAGAAATTGAGGACAGGCTGCATATACAGTAATAGGGGTATAGGTGTATCGGGATGACGTGGTAAGTGTGACTGCTGACCTAAAGGAAGAATATAACAAATGGTTAAAAAGAGAAAGAGATGATGTGGCAAATTCAATGAAGAGAAACTTGGTGTCGGTTTGGCATGTTGTCGTTGCTTTAGAAAATGGCGCCACATCAGTGCCACGTTGGAAAAAATAGTGCTCCAGAAAATGGGTATTTGTTTGTAACTGTTTTTTCATAAAAAACGGTGCTCTAAGCCACACCTTGAAAATCGGGAAGGTATGCTTGAAGCAATGCCAAATTTGACGCTTCCTGGCATTGCAGCTCGTTGAATTTGCACAGCTTGAAAACATCCTACCTGACAGCAAAGATTCCAAACAAAAAAAGACAATATTTAAAAAGAAAAAAACAGTGCTTCCAACTCACACATCACCAGCACCATCGATGCCAAACATATACCAGGTTACAAGGAGGAGACATAAATATTAAATATAAAAGAAGAATGAATTATT